TTTAAGAGCCAGGTGTGGTGGCACACGCCTTTGATCCCAGCACTTGAAAGGCTGAGACGGGAGGATCACGAGTTTGAAGCCAGCCAACAGCGTGGCCCGGGGCCACGGCAGACGGTGCTAAGCCTAGTGGGCAGCCAGCCTTCATGTGCTCCCATGCTTTCCTTCTGACCACTCCTCCCACTGTCAGTTATTTCCAGGAAGAGCTCAGCCAGGTGGCCAAGTCTCAGGTGAGCTGGCCTTCAGAGAGCAACTGCCATCTGGGCCTCACAGTTTTAGCCTGGAGTCCCTCACCCAGCACACCCTTGGGGCTCAGAACAGAATCTTCCCTGGATCCAGGCCCACCTTGCCAGCTACTTCTTCCTACCAAGCTGAGCTGATCACAGGGCTTGGAGAGAGACCCCAGTTTTGAGGGTACAGTATTTCCACACAGTTACCCTTTCCCCTGCCCACCTCTACCCACCAATACTTTTCCCCAGCATCTACCTGGAAGGCTGGGAGATGCACAAAGAGCCTCTACCTGTACCCTCAGATTGGGTGAGGGGTTCTGAGTAGCAAGCAACTATTATTATAGTACATGATGACCTTCAAGGACCTTGCTCTGTAATTTACTTTGGAAAAGGCACAGTACCTGGGCCCCCAGCAGAGAGAGCTCTACTGGGACATGATGCTGGAGAACTACGATACCCTGAGGGCTCTGGGTAAGCACCACATAGTGGGGCCTTAGTTCCTGCATCCCAGTGCCTGGTCTCTGGGCTCTCTTGATGCTCAGTAGACCAAACACCCCAGTCCAGGTCAGTGCCCTTGTTCTACAGGGAGTGTCTAGTGGACTCATCCTCTAATCCCTTTCTCTTTGAACCTCCTCTGGGGCCCTTCTCCTCTGTTCTCCTCAGTGGCCCTCAGGCTGGGCAGGTTTGATTTTCTAGCACTGACAGTTATCTTCTTGATGAACAGAGTTTCCAGAGTTCAGATCCAGGGTCATCTCTGGAGGAGGAATGCCAAGGATTGTGGCCCTGTGGGTCCTCCCTGTACAGGTGAATGACAGCAAGTTTCCCAGGGAAGTGCTGTGTGTAAGCTGCAAGCAATGTAGCATGGAGGGCAGATAGCCTTGATTGTCCTTTGTGGGGAGCCACATTGAGGTACCACGCCTTTCAGTCCTGATGCACCCCCGGGGATCTGAAAGATCACTGTAGTCTGATGCTGTAGTGCCATGACTCCTGACTCGGTCTCCCTGCCCCCACCTCAGAGGCCAGTCTTCTGAGTGGGCATACCCCTGGGGTTGAGCCACACTCACCTGTTCTTTTGTAATCCTACCCCTTTGCCCTGTTTGGGATAGAATGTTCTATGGAAACACCCTTTGTGTGTCCCCTTCTCTTGCTCTGCCTTTGGGTGTGGCCTTCTTAGATGTCAGTCTAGTGACAGCAGACATCAGGAAGCTGGACTCAACTCCTTGAAACCTGACCCCTTGGGGCTGGAGATGTGGTAGCGCGCTCGCTAGTCTGGCGTGTGGCCTGGGTTCAATCCTCAGCACCACTACAAACAAAGATGTTGTGTCCGCGGATAACTAAAAAAGAAATAAATATTTTAAAAATTCTCTCTCTCTCTCTCTCTTTCTAAAAAATAATCACAACATTAAAAAAAAAAAAAAAGAAACCTGACCCCTTGCCTCATTTGAGTGGTTCTCCCCAATAAAATAATTCAGTACTCACTCTCTCTTTTTCCACAGACCCCTAAGGTCAGAGGAGCCATCATAGGACCCAAAGAAAAAGGTCTCTCTGACTCTTGTGTGATTATTTCATGCAGCCCAGTTCCCCTGGAGTGACCCTGAGTGTTTTAGTCCTGAGAAATGCAACAGTCCTTTACCAACTCCCCTCCTGGCCCATCCCTCCAAGAACAAGTCCATAGTGACACAATGTGCTGCTGCTCAGGTGAGATGCTCATTTTCTTGGTGTCTACATGATAGACCAATTAGGACTTGGGTTTCTTTTTTTTTTCAAGGAAATAATATTTATTTTCAATTTATTCAGATTAAAAAATCAGGCACATATACATTGAAAGGTATAATATATTGTCACCATGTAGAATGTGGTCTCTGGAATCAGACTGCCTGGACTCTAATTAACCTT